GCCACACTGTATCGAGCGCGCCAGTCGACGTGCGAAGCCAATTCTTCAACACAGAGTGGGCACTTTCCACCCTACAGGTAGTTGTGTTGCCAAAATGTGTTACTTGGTTCGTCCAGGCTTTCACAAACTTCTCCTTCTGTACTAGCCACGTCTGCTCGAGATATTGTACCACTTCTGAGTCATTCCCGTATTTTGCATACAATTGAGCTATGGCAGCGTCGTACTCATCCGACGTACTGGCATCCATAATCGACTTCCACCGACCGCGCAAGAACCGCTCAGATAATTTTTTATTTTTCCCAAACAAGTTGTACACTTTGTTTTCCACATCCTTATTTATGTGCCACGTGCATAGTAAGTGGGCAGATTGGGGAAAATGCCTCCTAATATGAGTCATTAAGCCCAACTCTCTGTCACTGACAACCGCATTAGGATGCACCTGAGCAGCGGCAAAAATTAGTGACACACGCCAAAAAAAATGAATAACTTTTTTACCATATTGCACAAAATACTTTTATTACTAATTAAATTAATCGTGTAATTCATATAAATCCTTACCGTATAGCCTATCAGAAGTCTCAACTTCTCGAGAACCCAATCATAACTGGCCTCTTTCTCGTCCTTGATGAGGGCATACGCAATTAGAAAGTTATTGTTGCACGGCGTCATGCCAATCATCTCAACCAACGGCATTTTTTACCTATGAAAATTAGACCAAAAGACAAAAATTATAATCACATACAATTAATCCAAAATATAAACTAAAATTAATACTAATAACATATATGTAGATTTAAAAATACCTGTTAGTTTTGTACGTAGAATCTACGCCGACAAACCAATAATATGTCTGGAATAGACTCGCTGAATCAGGATGGGCCATGAATATGTGTGTCAGCGCATTTGTATTCGGATCGACATTTGTATAGACTATATAATTGCTGCTGCTAGCCAAATGTAGAAGTTGGGTAGGAACGTCCCTACCCTCAAAACTTTTCTTACGCAACCAGTTTCTATAGTTATATATATGTCGCCGATTAGCATGGTCGTGTGGATTTTTTTCCTGGACGGAGGCCAAAATATTTGTTGGTGTCACATGCGCAGCGGTCATATCACGAATAATATTTTTTGATGAGTGGCTTATGCCACTCGACTGTCGATGGCCCTCAGGATACACAGCTAATGAATGATTATGATATTCCTTATTTTCGTCTTGACTCGTGTGGATCATCCAGTATGTCGATCTGGTAACACGCTTTACTTGTATCTTAAAAGGGCACTGGCACGCTTTCGTTTTTGAATGTCTAGAAACAGCTTTATTCATATCTACGCTTTTGCCTCTATAACGTTCGCCTCGGTGGCACTTCAAGATCTTCAGCCTTCCAGGTTTTTTGTGTTTCGAAATAGTCAAAAAGAAACCATTCATAATTGCCGTACTTTTTGTATCTTTAATGGCCTCCTCATCACTAATAAACAGCGTAGTTGTATTGAAAGCGGAACGGTAATCAACACCATCTCCTCCAAAATCTTCTAAAGACACCTACAATGTATTACATATTTAATAATTTTAAAGCATACTTATAATATAAATAATTAATTGAAAGATGTAACATACTAATTTTTAATTAACGTTCACTTTATAGATAATTAATCTTCAAATGTTATTACAATAATAGTTTTCTTTTATATTATAGTAATAATTTTTAATATTATTATGCTAATATTTTTGTTTTTAATATTAAAATAAATATATTATAATATTTTTTTACTTTATTAATGTCATTTATTTCCTTTTATATTATAATTATTATTATTATTAGCATTTTTTATTTTATAATAGTTGAATAAATATACTATAATATTTTTTATTTTATATTATAATAATAATTATTAATATAATTATGATAATATTTATATTTTTAATATTCAAACAAATATATTACAATAATAATTATTAATATTATTTTGCTAATATTTTTTTTTAATATTAAAATAAATATATTATAATGTTTTTTTACTTTATTAATGTCATTTATTTCCTTTTATATTATAATTATTATTATTATTAGAACTTTGTTATATAAATATTATTATTATTAGAATTTTTTTTATATTATAATAATTATTAATCTTTTTTTATATAAATATTATTATTATTAGAATTCTTTTTATATTATAATAATTATAATAAAATAAATATTATTATAATAAAATGCATTTTTGGTCCTGACTTTTGGATGTCCGTGCAATTTTAGTCCTCTCCTATAGTATTGTGGCACATTTAGTCCCTCAATTAAATTTTTTGGCGCAATTTTAGTC